AACCTAGCAATTCTACTCTCAATTATATACCCAACAGAAATAAAAATATATGCATACACATAATCTTGTTCACAAATGTTATAATAGCATCATTCATAATAACCAAAAAGTGGTGACAACCCAAATGTCTATCAACTGTTGGATGGATAAATAAAATGTAGTATATCCATAAAATGAAACATTCTGACGTAAAAAGAAATTAAGTCCAAAATGTTTGAACTTCAAAAACATTGTGTTGAATGAAAGAAGCCAGTCACAAAATACTACATATTGTATGATTCCATTTATATAAAATATACAGAATAGGCATATTCATAGAGATAGAAAATAGATTAGAGGCTATCTAGAGCTATAATAGGAGGAGGTAATGGGGAAGTGATTGCTAATGGGTATAAGTTTTCTTTGTAGTATGGCAATTACACAATGGCATTGGTTGTGCAACTCTGTAAATATACTAAATATCACTGAGTTGTACACTTCAAATGGGTCAACTTTACAGTATGTACTTATGTCATCTTTTTGACAACAGGCATCCTAATGGTGTGAGGTGATATTTCATTATAGTTTTGATTTGCATTTCCCTGATTATTAGGGATGTTGAGTACCTCTTTGTGTACCTGTTGACCATTTGTATGTTGTTATGGTTTAGATGTGATGTGTCCATCAAAAGCTCATGTGTGAGACAATACAATGATAGGATTGTGAGAGCCTTAAATCAGTGCATAAATCCACTGATATAGATTAACAGGTCCATAACTATAGGCAGGTAGGGTGTGACTTGAAGAAGTAGGTCACTGGGGGCATGCCTTTTGGGTTTATATTTTGTCCCTGATGTGCCTCTATTTCTCCTTCTTTGCTATGATGTTCTGCTTCACCTTGGGCCCAGAGCTATGAAGTTAGAAAGAAATAAAAAACTGACTAGAAAAGAAATTGGTACTGAGAAGTGGGGTCATTGCTTCTGAACCTGATTATGTGGTTCAGAAGCCTTTGAAGCTGGTATGCATGGTTGCGGGGAGGTGTTGAAAAGTTTAGAGATGCAAGCTGGAAAAGCTTTAGAATGTTTTCAGTGGAACTTAATGGACAATTCTGTTGGGAGCTCAGAAGACAAGAATGCTGATAGGACAATGGACAGTAAAAATTGGCCTCATGAGGTTTCAGAGAAGGAAGATTCTATTGGAAACTGAACTAGAGGCCACTCATGTTATGTTATGGCAAAGAAGCTGTCTACATTTTGCTCCTGTCCTCAGACTTTCTGTTAGGCTAAATTTAAAGGTGATGAACTAATTAATTTGGCAGAGAAAACTTTAAGGCAGCATAGCATTCAGACAGTGGCATGGGTGTTGCTGGCAGCTTTTAGCCAAGTTTGCTTGATAACCAAGAACAGAAAGCAGAGCAGAAAGATTTGAAAAACTTGCAGTTTGACCATAAAAGTGTGAGTAAAACTGGGGTTAAGGAAGGCGTGGTTGTGAAAGAGACTACAGCCAGGAAAGAGATACTGCTAAGTACTTTACCCAGAAACAATTGGAAAAATGGCATGAGGGCATCTCAGGAACCGGCAAGACCATACCCATCTCAGAATCAAGGGTGTAAAAGTAAAAATTCCTCCAAGAAGAGACCATGGGAGCACCCTGTTCACACGGGGGGCCTAGAAAGTTGTTTCACAGTCTCAGCCACCCAGGCATTCAGAGGCTGCTGCAGCCATCATCCCAGAATGCTTGACTACTGCTTGAGATGGTGGCAGACCTTGGCATCAACACCAACCATAGTGTTGGTCCTACAGGAATGCAGGATGCTATAGTTAGGGGGTCATGGAGGCTTCCATTAAGATTTCAAAGAAATGCCTGGGAGACTAGGCAAAGTGTAGCAGGGTCAGAGTTCCCACAAGCTGTCCCTGAGAGGGCAATGTGTGAAGATGTGAGAGGAAGCCAAAGCTGCAGTGGAGACCCCCAAGACTGGGAGATGCCTATAACATGGAACAACTGCCAAGGAAAGCTGCAAGAATCAATAAGAAACAAGCCATGTGGACTGCCACCAGCAAAACCATAGGGGCAGAGCTATACAATCCCTTTGAAGAGAATATCACAATGCCATATGCTTCAGATAATGGATATAGAGCTACAGGATGTGTTTCCAGCTGGATTTTGGTCTTGCCTTGTTCCTATCCCTTCTTTCTATGCTGCTATTTCTCCTTTGTGGAATGGAAATGCTTACTCTATGCCATTATATATAAGTTTATGTAACTTGTTTTTGATCTTTACTCTCATAGCTAAGAGGTTTTCTTTTTAAATTTTTTAGTTTTTTCTAATTGATTATACATGACAGTAGAATGCATTTTGACACATCATACATAATGGAGTATAACTTCTCATTCTTCTGGTTGTACATGATGTAGAGTTGCACAAGTCGTGTAATCATATATGCATATAGGGTAATAATATCTGATTCATTCTATTATCATTCTTACCTCTATACACCCTCCCCTCCCTTCACTCCCCTCTGTCTAATCCAAGGTACCTCTATTCTCTGCCTCCCCCCTTATTGTTAATTAGCAAACACATATCAGAGAAAACATTTGGTACTTTGCGATTGGCTTATTTCACTTAGCATAATATTCTCCAGTTCCATCCATATACTGGCAAACATCATAATTTCATTCTTCTTTAAGGATGAATAATATTCTATTGTGTATATATACCACAATTTCTTTATCCATCTGTTGAAGGGCACCTAGGTTGGTTCCATAGTTTAGCTATTGTGAATTGAGCTGCTATAAAACAGCTAAGAGTTTGTCTTGAGTCTCAAACAAGATTTTTAAAAATATATTTTTAGATGACAACAGACCTTTATTTATTTGTATGCGGTACTGAGAATTGAACCCAGAGCCTAAAACATGCTAGGTAAGCGCTCTACCACTGAGCCACAACCCTCAAACAAGAGTTTTGACTTGGACTTTTGAGCAATGCTAAATATATGGGGACTCTTGGAAATGGGCTAAATGTTATTTTGAATTATGAGATGGGCATGAACTTTCAGGGGCCAGGGGAAGAATGTTATGGTTTAGATATGAGGTGCCTCCCAAAATCTCATGTGTGAGACAATGCAAGAAAATTCAGAGATGAAATGATTGGATTATGAGAACCTTAACCTAATCAGTACATTAATCCACTGCTATAGATTAACTGGGAGATAACTATAGACAGGGAGTGGCTGAAAGAAGGTCACTGGGGGCATGTCTTTTGGGTTTATATTTTGTCCCTGGTGAGTAGGACTCTCTGTCTGCATGCATCCTGGTTGTCATTCCAAGCTACTTTCCTCCACCATGCCCTTCTTCTACAATGTTCTGCCTCAGCTTGGGCCCAGAGCTATGAAGTCAGCCATCTGAGACCTCTAACCCTGTGAACCAAAATAAACTTTTCTTCCTCTAATTATCTGACACATAGTACATGCTCACAAGTTATTCTTTTCAGATCTTTTGGTCACAGCAACAAAAAAGATGACTAAATCCTATGTCTTCTCTGGAAAAGTATATATTCAGGTCATTTTCCCATTTTTTAAATTGGATTTTTGGGGTGGGAGGTTTTGCTTAATGTAGTATAGAGGAATGTTTGATATCATATTTTTTCTAAATTTAAGATCCTGTAACCAATATGGGCATCTATCAATTGAAGACTTATTCACTCTATTAATTGTTTATGGTACTACATACTACAGAACATTATGCATCTACTGAAATGAATGAATCAGATTTATATATTCTAACTTGGAGTGATGTTCATGATGAAAATTTTTAAAAATGTTTTTTAGTTGTAGATGGACATAATACCTTTATGTATTTTTTATGTGGTGCTGAGGATTGAACCCAGTGCCTCACATGGGCAAGGCAAAAATGGTTTACCACTGAGCTACAACCCCAGCCCATCATGATGAAATCTTTAAGGGCAGAAATTCAGTTGTAGAATAGAGGGTTTATATGATTCTACCTTTATACACACACACACATATTGTGTGTGTGTATATATATATATATGTATATATATATATATCCATATATATAAAAGTATATATGTTGTTTTCTGTCTTTCTCCTCATACTGGCATAAGTATTTGTTGAGGGAATTTTTGCCTATTTCATTCATTGCTATATCTAACCTGTACCTAAAACAGTGTCTGACACATAGTACATGCTCACAAGTTATTTTATTCAGTGAATTAATAAGTTCTTATCTCTTTTTGTATGAGCAAGGAGAAGAAGGTGAAAGAGGTCATTCATGGCTGTTAGTTTTAATTACTTCCGGGGAAAAGGATTATTGAAAAGTAAAGGAGAGGGGTTGGGGTTGTGGCTCAGTGGTAGCATGCTTGCCTAGCATGCGTGAGGCACTGGGTTCGATTCTCAGCACCACATACAAATAAGTGAACATAAAAGTTCATCAACAACTAAAAAAAAATTTTAAAAAAAGAAAAGTAAAATGAGAGTGAAGATAATTAACATTTTCTTTATTTTCCTTTTTAAATCTATTAACAATAAACATATTAGTTTCATAATGTAAAAATTCTAAAAAGATAGTGTTACAGGGAGAAAAGGAAGATAAACTATGAATGTCATTGTCATCACATGAAGAAATACTCAACATTTTAGTTATATACACTTCTGGGTAGAGAAGAGAAGAAGGGGAAAGACAAACAGGGCTGATTGAGGAACATAGAAGGCTACAGGTTAGGGAACACTGAGTGGGTGTGAAGACTTTCTTTTCTTTATATTTAGCTACATTTGTGGGTATTGGCTGCTTTAACTGTATTAAAAGATGTATGAATTGGAAATTGCTCCTTTTGTATCAAATATGGGTGTATTCATCATTTGGTGTCTAGAACTAATTCGTTTTGTTTAAACCAATGAGTAATTGTGTAAGTGACTGCCTTCACCTCTGTGGCTGCTCTTAATCACTTATAACTGGTCTACTGGATCACCAATACCAGTGTTCGGTATTTTATGAATATATTCACCTTTGGTGAAGAGGGCTCATGCATGTTGAACTAGTTACTCGGTACTGGAAAAATCGTGGGTTCATACCATAACTCAGTCTGATGTAAGCTCCTCGATTGCTGCCTTCTTCGTAATAATTAGAAGCAGAAAATATGGTAATAACCTGATTAGTAAAAAAGAGAATCAGGTTCATAAAATTAGTTCTCAAAAGTTTATTCAATAAAGTCAGAAATAGCTTAATTATTAAAAAGCAAAAATTAAACACAGTTCATAATTTCTGCAAATTATTCAAGTCTGACATGATTTCTTAAAGAGTCCACTGGAGGAAAACAAAGGTTTTCACTCGGTGTCTCCAGGAGTACTACCTCCTAGACACTCATTCAATATCTCCAGTGCATGACCCTGCATTCCTATGTATAATTTTAGTGCCAGATCTTAGAATCCTCTTCAGTGTTTGGTTTTGCAAATTCTAATTTTCTAAGGGGATAAATCCCTTATTTTCTTATCTTGTTACATCTGAGCATTCAAAATAAAACTTGTCTAGTAGCTCAGTCTTTTTCTTTTGCTTGGAGCTGAGTAACTTCATTCATTGAATAAGACAACTTAGAGGGTTCAAGGCTCAACAAAGCCAGTGCTTTAAGGGCAGAGAAACAGTGCCAAGACTATGAAACCATGACCACTGTCTTGGGAAGGAACAAGCCTTAGGAGTATGGTGGAATATGGAAAGAAATATTTGTCAGTGACAGAAAACCTGGCTTAGGCCCAATTCTGTCATGATAAGCACGTCATTTCAGATAAACCACTGCTATATTCTATCCATTTTCTCATTATAAAGAAGTCCTAAAAATACTCACTTTACTTATCTTACGATATTAGTATGAGCCTAAAATAAATTAATAGTTAAGAAAAAGCAAAGGAAGAAATGCCACACAATTTGGTATTAATTGTTATTTATTGCTCTTCACTATAGAAAAAGAGGCTAACCAGGTCAATGGAGGAGGATGGGAATCATCTCAGTCCTCACCTCTTCTAACCTTATTAACATCACTGAAGGAGCAGAATACACTCCATTCTCATGGCTACAGCAAAACTAACCATGGAGAGCTACTAGCAGGAGACTGCCTATTCAGCCAGTTGAAGGAAAGTGTTTTATACTCTGCACAAGGAATGTGCAAAAAGTGGAAGAGAACAAAGTGGATTCACTGCTGCCTTCCATGTACTCTGTGAGGAAAAGTACATTCTTAACCGTACAGGAGAGTTGTATTACAATAAGTAAAGAATGAAGCCTCTGTGTGTGTGTGTACTTAGTGCCATGTGTCAGAATTTCATTAATCTGTTTCTGGGATTAATAAAGATCAGCAAATAAGTAAAATATCTCTTAGGGTATAGGAGAGTGAGGGCCTTTCAAACAACCTATATATGAACCCGCCAGTGTCTGCTTTTTGTTTGGTACTAGGAAAGATATCTTCTTATGGGCTCCTAGGTCAGACACACTCTGTGATGAGAAGACTCTATTCTTGGGGGAAGTATGTCTGTGAGGATGTCACCAACAATGTTAGCTTACCTTCCCATCATGGCAGATTTCATACCCATCATGCTTACATTCATGAGACCTAATGAGCATCTTCAACTGGTATTTATTGAGAATCTTAGAGGTAACGTCTGGTCCAAAATAGCAGCCTCCTCCTCGACTTGTGTTTGGATAACAGCCTTTTCTTCCTCTGGGGTCACTCCACAGAATGTCAACAACCTTGGAAGAACAAACCAAATTAGGCTGCTCCCTATAAGTGAGAGTCTGTCTTTCTAGATTCCAACTTATTTACCAGATATACTAACCCAAAGTATACCAAAGGCTCTTTTCCATTCCTCCTTTAAAATTGCTTCATACTCATCTACTCCATGCACCCTTTCCAGAATAATTTTTCTTAAGTACTGAGGATTAAATCCACGGGCACTCTACCACTGAGCTCTGGTCCCCAGGCCTTTTTATTTTGAGATAGGGTCTAAGTTGCTGAAGCTGGCCTTGAACTTGCAATCCTCCTGCCTCAGCCTCTAAATTGCTGCGATTACAGGCATGCAGTAAAGTTGCTGGGATTACAGGAGTGGGTCAACACATTTGTCCATTTTTTTCTTTTAAAATAGTTTCATTGTCATGTTCACAGAAGAAAGTAGTTCCCCATAAGGAACACATTAGGTATTCTTAATATACTCAAAGAAATTAGGTAGCTCACCTAGCTGGGACTTGGGCCTGGAGCTTTTGTCCTGTTGAACAAACAGCCTGAGGAAGCACTTGCTCTTTCCCACCACAAATAGAGAAAGCTGTTCATTCAAGAACATTCTTAAAAGAATCTTCTTCCCCTTTTACCAACTTGATATGGACATTCTCAGTTTCAGCAATACATTTGCTCAATGACTTACTTCTACCAGGTATTCTCCTAAATCCATAGAGTTTTATTAGCATAACATTTCTTTTGGGGTAAGTGTGTGGAAGAGGCAAGCACATGTCACATGATACCCAGGACAGAATACCCAAGTTTCTAAGAATATTTTTCATGAAAAATTGGAAGCTCTTTCTTTACAGCTCCAATGTACAAGTGTAACATGTCTTTATTTAAACTTCTCCTATAAGAACTTCAAGAATAGTAAGAAAAACTACCTTTGTCACTAAAGATAGCAACAACCCTAGGAAAACTCTCTGGGTCCCACATTTAAAATCTTTTAAATCTGGCATTTGGGCCAGTTGATCAGTAAAGTACCTCAAAGTTCTAACATCCTATAATTCTGAAAGTCTATATTTTCCACATTTCTTTTTTTCTTTTGTTTTTGGTTTTTGATGCTGGTGCTGGTAATTGAACCTAGGACCTCAAGTGCTGGGCATCCTGGGCAAGTGTTTTACTGCTGAGTATACCTTTAGCCCTTCCACCTCCACATGTTTCTTTTGAGGGCATGAAAAAGCATGCGTTTTAAGTTGTGCAGTTATTCTAGTAGGACCAAATCAGGTCTTAAGAACCCAAAATGGTTGCTCTACTAAATCTGACTGTATACCCATTACAGGTTTAGTATTGAAGGGAAACTAGACATAAATGAGGGAAAGGGCAGTGAGGTGGAAAGAACAGAACTGGCAGGACAACCACCCTGGAATGGTCAGCATTTGGTCAAAACTAGAGAAATCCTGCACAAGGCACAGATCAGACACTTGCAGTTTTTTGAAGATTGATTGAGTTCAAAATAAAAACCACTCCAAAAAAGAATCAACCCAGCAGTTTCCTTACTCCTCACTGAATTCTAACATGGGCACAACCAGTACAAATAAATACAATGCAACACCTTTACTATGCTGCTGTTTATGACAAAAATAGCATTTGCATTTTAAACTGAGTCATATCTGGCTTTTACACCAACTAATTCATCTTTGACCTGCAGTATAATGAAGGCTCAAACACAAAACACAAGGGGTTGTATTTTATTAGGAAGGGATTAAGTTTTCAATTCCTACAAGGATATGAATCATTTATAGAAAAATTATCCCTGGAAAAACCTCTTAAATTATCCTGAAAGTACATTATACATGGTTTTATCTATATAATCCTATATAATAATTATGTTTATGTATATACATATAAAATAGTATGTAAAAAAGACTATTTACAAAAATAAATTTTTACAGTATTTTTCTTTTTTTTGCCCTCTTTGCCATATATGACAGTTGAAATCTACATAAATTAAACCTACATATGATGGAACTCTGTCAAACTAGAATAAGCACTGGTCAAGAAGTCATCTCTTCAAGTAATTATCTATGTCCTCTTGGGCAAATCACTTCACCTATTTTGGTCTCAGTTGTTATTAATTAAATGAGAAAGATATATCTAAAACTTATTTTCTTTGATTCAAGATCATAAGGGATAACAATTTTTAAGAAAGGAGCATCTCTATCAGAATCCATTCCATGAAATCTCCATTTTGTGTATGGGGATAAGGGGTACTGGGGACTATACATTTCTTATCTGTTTAGAAATTATTCATTTGACTAGTTTTCTTAGACTATAGTTGTAACATAGGTTTAATTCTGGAGCTCACAAACAAAAATGCTATTAAGGGCTCTTTTTAAGTGAAATAAATTCTTCCATAGAAACCATCTCTTTTTTTCTTAACAACAACCTATCCTCTGAGATGCAGGAGTCTTAGGATGGTAATTGCATGAGAGATTAAGTATTTGCAACATTTTTTACTAATAATTTTCAAACCAAAAAGTGGGAAACTTTCACTGACATATGGATTTTAATGATCAGAATAACAAACATCTATTTGTGTCTCAGCCTTTTAAATCTCCTCAATCTAAAATAAATCAAAAATACATGAGATTCCACTGTACTCCCTCTCTAGGATGGCTACAATCAAAAGGGTGTAGTTCAGTGGTAATGCATGTGCTTGACAAGTGTAAGGCCCTAGGTTTAATCTCCAGCATCAAAAGAGTGGGGGGTGCAGACAGGCAATAGTAAGTGCTGGTGAGAATGGAGGAGAAATTAGAACTTCATTGCTGATGGGAATATAAAATGGTATAGCCACTTGGGCTAACAGTTTGGAACTTTTTCAAAATATTTAACTTTAGAGTTACCTTATCATTCAGCAATTCATATTGAGTATGTACTGCATATATATATACTCAAGAGAAATGAAAAGACATGTGCATATAAAAACTTGCATGTTGTATGCGAATGTTTATAAAGGCATTATTCATAACAGTAAAAAAATGGAAACCAACCCAAATGTCCATGAGCCAATAAATGAATAAATACAATATGATCTACCCATATAGAACATCATTCAGCAATTAAAAGAAAGTACTGACATATGCTACAACATGGATGAACCTAAAGAACATTGTGCTGAGTAAAAGATGCCAGACATGAAAGATCACATATTGTATGTGCCCATTACAATAAAATGTTCAGAATTAGTTTATCTATAAAGACAGAAAGCAGGTTAATGGTTGCCTAGGGTTGGGGGGGGGACAGGAAAAGGGGAGAATGGAGAGTGACTGCTAATAGGTATGGGGTTTCTTTCTTCACTGAAAAAAATGTTCTCAAATTAGACTGTAGTGATAGTTGTAAGTTTACTAAAAACTACTGAATTATATACTCTAAACGGGTAAGTTATATAATATATGAGTTATATCTCAATAAAAGTATCAAAATGCAGTGATGAATTCTGAGAGAATCATATGGTTTGCTTATAAAGGTAAGTTACTTTTATCTATATATTGTAAGGTGCAACATCATCTATGCTGGTGTCTTCATTGCCACTCTGGGAACACTTTAATTACCTACCTGTTCCCATTCATGCTTTGATAACTCTTGAGAAGGGAAACCATTTGATTTGACTTTTCCTGATGAAGTAACAGTAATGTCCCCTTTACTTTTCTTAGAGTCGGTGGCATGGCCTCTATTTATTGACACTGGTGGCATCAGCACAGATCTCATCTATAAAACAAATTCATGTTTTAGTGAAATACTCTGCTTATTGTGCTGCATGCAGACACTTCAGTAACAGTAACACACAGAAACCTTTTCTGACTCTCCTACCTCCTATGACTCGTTGATCCACTGTTGTCTGTAAAGTGGGCCTGTTAAATTCTGTTTGCACATTTTTCAACTAAAGACACTGCGCTACAGGGAAAAGACTCACATTAAAGTTTCTAAAGGATACCAGAGGCACATGTATGTATGCAGGTGCTAAACAGCTTCTAAGGCACCATCACAGGAAATGAAAGATGTTAAGTGCAGGGAAAACTAGTGCCCCTCTGAGCCTTCATCTGGAGCTTGGAGGAGTTCAGAAAAATCTATTAAAAGGACAGCTGCTTTTCATTTTGTTGTATTTTGCAGGAGAAATGAAAAAAAAAAGTACATCTGTATCAGAAAAGTTCTAAATGGGACATGGATTAAAAACTTTGGAAGCCCTTAACGTAAATGTACTGTAGTTCTCAGTCTGACCTGTCAGCAATTGATTATGTTCTCTAACAACACTCCAGTGTTACTTTGGAAAATAAAATGTCTTTCTGATAGCATTTCAACTATTCTAATCCCTCTGCATTCCCTTATACAACCTGAAATAATAATTTTATTCTTGTGTCTTTGTAGCACCATACCTTAACACAAAGCAATTTCAATCAATACTTCTGCTACACTGGTGACCACAGCTCACAATTCTCTGGAGTAGGTACCTAGTTTCTAATAAAAACTATGGTATGTATGAAATCTTTTCAAAAATAAAATTGAGGCTGGATATGATAGCACAGGCCTATTAATTCTCAGGAGGAAAGACAAGAAGGATTCCAAGTTTAAGGCCAGCCTCAGCAACTTAGCAAGATCCTGCCTCAAAAAAAAAAAAAAAAAAAAAAAACGATCTTATTCTAAAGCCTTGTCTCACTGAGCTTGTTGGAAATTTCTATCTCAGCTATTATTAGCCAGTTCAGAGCCTACCTTTTCTGTCTTTCCCAGGCAAATGTCCTCAGGTCTTAGGCAGACCAGAATATTCTAGGAAAGCCCTCTGAATCTAGGTCAACACAATTCACTTCTGATAAACTCATAGGGCAAGGCCACAAGGTTCCTTAAGTCTGTGCTGCTCTGCAGTTTTCAAGACCACTTAGGATTTTGAGATAACGTTGCCTAGCTCCTCTAAGGCATCACACCACCAGTTTTTCTTGGGAGTCCTACTAGCCATTGTTTATATTTCTTCTTTTGAAATACTCACTGCTGGGGAGTTCAAGAATACCAGAGATTTAGTCTTATAGAGTTTTTCTTTTCTATCCCTCTACATTGACCTCCAACCTGCTCATCATCCAAAATCCTTTCAATTAATTTAGAAGAGAAGTTGCCATTAGGTTTCCTCAACACTACCCCTCCCTTATTAAATTACACCACCACCACAGGTACAAACCAGGAAGTGTGATAATCTGACAATTGAAGGGTCCTATGGAATAAGAACATGGGGATTATAAAACTGAACTTGGAAATCTACCTTTGTATCTTATCTGATAGAGTTCCAGAAGCTCAAGACTACTACTTTCATCACAGTTTAATTATATTTATTTAATATAAATTTATACTGTTAGTTCTTACACTAGTAGGGATATAAGACACAAGCAATATACATATATATTTATATAGAAGTCAAGTTTTTAAATAAAACCAGTCTTATGAGCCAGTGGAACAGTAATCCCTGAAGGGGATGAAATTTGAAGCATCCTGGGAAAATTGCTAGCCCAAAAATGTCCCTTAGGTTCTGTCCTAATCACTGAAATTCAGACTTCAGATCCAAATATCAGGAAAAAAACAAAAGGGAGAATCGGAGAGCTATATGTTTAGTATTACTATACATTATTTTCTTCATCTTGGTTAATAATTTAATCTTCACAATAATCTAAAGTGATATTTCTAACTTATTGGTGTAGGAACTGAGACTTAGAAAACTTCAGTGCCTCATCCAATCACCATCCAGGAAATGGCAGAAGCAGGATATAAATCTGACTATGTCTGTCTGATATCAGAATTTCTAGTCTTTACTACATCAGGGTGGCTCTCAACTTAGGGTCTCCACAGAGCTAGGGTAGACATTCCAGAGACTTGTTTGCAATACCTCAAAAAGCCTTACATGAGGCTGGCTACTCAGGCTAACCTCAGGAAAGTAAATTTTCATTCTGAGCCATTGGTAGTGGCTGCCATGGTTGATTAGTGCAGTAGTCACAGGGTGGGTGGTGGAGAGTATAGCATTCATGGCATGTGCTTGCCAATATTTGACAGACAAAAACACCATGTTCCTTTGTTCTTGGCAAGAATCATATCTACTGTGTTTTTTTTTTTTATGTTTAGCCTTTATTTTAAACAAAGATGAATCCTAATCTATAGAAAAGAAAAATCATTCTGGTTCACACTTTTAAACACATCTTATGAAAATTGTAAAATCACTTTATTCTTTTTAGTTGTACATGACAGTAGAATCTATGTTTTGACATATTTATATAAGCATGGAATATATATTATTCTAATTAGGATCCCAGTCTTGTAGATATATACTATGTTGCGATTCACTGTGGTGTATTCATATATATACATAGGAAAGTTATGTCAGATTCATTCCACTGTCTTTCCTGTTCTTCCTCCCCTCCCTTCCCTTTATTCCCCTTTGTATAATCCACTGAACTTCTATTCTTCCTCTCCCCCTCTTATTGTGGATTAGCATCCACATATCAGGGAGAACATTCATTCTCTTGTTTTGGGGGAATTAGCTTATTTCACTTAGCAGATAGTCTCCAGATCCACTTATTTACTGGCAAATACCACAAAGTCATTCTTTATGGCTGAGTAATATTCCATTGTGTATAATACCACAATTTCTTTATCTATTCATCTGTTGATGGGCATCTAGATTGGTTCCACGGCTTAGCTATTGTACATTGTGCTGCTATAATATAAACAATGATGTGGCTGTACACTGTACTATGCTGATTTTTAACTCCTTTGGATATATACCATGAAGTGGAATAACTTGGTCAAATGGTGGTTCTATTCCTAGTTTTTTGAGGAATCTCCATACTGCTTTCCAGAGTGGTTGCACTAATTTTCAGCCCCACCAACAATATATGAATATACCCTTTTCCCCACATCCTCACCAATATTTACTGTTACTTGTATTCTTGATAATTGCCATTCTGACTGGACGAGATGGAATCTCAGTGTAGTTTTAATTTGCATTCCTTTAGTTGCTAGAGATGTTGAACATTTTTTCATATATTTATTGACCATTTGTATTTCTTCTTTTGAAAAGCATCTGTTTAGTTCCTTTGCCCACTTATTGATTGGATTATTTATTTTTGGTATTAAACTTTTTGAGTTCTTTGTATATACTGGAAATTAACACCTTATCTGAGGTGTGGATGGCAAAGCTTTTCTCCCATTCTTTAGGTTATCTCTTCATGCTCTTGATTGTTTCCTTTGCTGTAAAGAAGCTTTTTAGTTTGATATCATTCCATTTGTTGATTTTTTTATATTACTTCTTGTGCTTTAGGAATCTTGTTGGGGAAGTCATTTCCTAAGCTGACAGATTGAAGTGTTGGGCCTACATTTTCTTCTAGTAGGTGCAGGGTTTCCAGTCTAGTAACTAGGTCTTTGGTCCACTTTAAGTTTTGTGCAGGGTGAGAGATAGGAGAAGTTAAATTTCATTTTACTACATATGGATTAATTTTATATCCTGCTATTATGCTGATATCCCAGCACCATTTGTTGAAGAGGCTATCTTTTCTCCAAAGTACATTTTTGGCACCTTTGTCGAGTATAAGAGAATTGTATTTATATGGGTTTGTCTCTATGTCTTCTATTCTGTACCATTGGTCTACATGTGTTTTGGTGTCAGTACCATGTTTTTGTTATTATAGCTCTGTAGTATAATTTAAGGTCAGGTGATGTAATGCCTCCTTGCTAAGGATTGCTTTGGCTATTCTGGGCCTCTTAGTTTTCCAAATGAATTTCATGACTGCTTTTCCTATATCTATAAAGCATGTCATTGCAATTTTAATAGGAATTGCATTAAATTTGTATAGCACTTTTGATAATTTGGCCATTTTGACAATATTAATTCTGCCTATCCAAGATCATGGGAGATCTTTCCATTGTCTAAGATCTTCTTCAATTTCTTTTGTTAGTGTTCTGTAGTTTTCCATTGTAAAGGTCTTTCACCTCTTTTGTTAGATTGATTCTCAAGTTTGTTTGTTTTGTTTTAGGCTATTGTGAATAGAATAGTTTTCCTAATTTCTCTTTCAGCTGATTCATCACTGGTGTATAGGAACACAATTAATATGAGTGTTAATTTTATATCCTGCTACTATACTGAATTAATTTATGAGCTATAGAAGTGTTCTAAGTCCTCTAAATATAGGATAATGTTGTCAGCAAATAGAGATAGTTAGAGCTCTTCTTTTGCTATTCATATCCCTTTAATTTCTTTCTTTTGCCTAATTGTTCTAGTTAGAGTTTCAGGAACTATGTTGAATATAAGTGCCTTGTTCCAGTTTTTAGAGAGAATGCTTTCAGTTTTTCTCCATTTAGAATGATGTTGGCTTGGGTTTGTCATATATAGTTTTTACAATGTTGAGATATGTTCCTACTTGCCCTAGATTTTCTCATGATTTAAACATGAATGGATGCTGTATTTTGTTGAATGCTTTTTCTGTATCTATTGAGATCATCATGTGATCCTTGTCTTTAAATCTATTTATGTGGTGCATTATATTTATTGATTTCCATATGAACCAACCTTGCATCCCTGGGACAAAACACTCTTGATCATGGTGCAACATTTTAATATGTTTTTTATGCAATTTGCCAGTATTTTATTAAGAATTTTTGTTATCTATGTTCATCAGGGATATTGGTCTGAAGCTTTCTTTCCTTGATGTGTCTTTAACTAGTTTTGGTATCAGGGTGATACTAGCTTCATAGAATGAATTTGGAAGGGTTCCCTCCTTTTCTATTTCATGGAATAATTTGAGGAGAATTGGTGTTAGTTCTTCTTTACAGGTCTTATAGAACTCAGCTGAGAATCCACCCAGTCCTGGGCTTTTCTTGGTTGGAAGGCTTTTGATGGCATTCTCAATTTCATTACTTGAAATTGATCTGTTTAAACTTTCTATAGCCTCCTGGTTCAATTTGGGTAGGTTATAAGTCTCTAGAAATTTGTTGACGTCTTCAAGATTTTCTAATTTATTGAAGAATAGATTTTCAAAATAGCTTGATTATTCTCTGTATTTCAGTAGTGTCTGTGGTGATATTTCCTTTTTTGTCACAAATTTTAATAATTTGAGTTCTTTCCCTCTTTCTTTTGGTTAGCTTGGCTAAAGGTTTATAGATTTTGTTTATTTTTTCAAAGAACCAACTTTTTGTTTCATTGATTTTTGAATTTTTAAAATTTCAACTTCATTGATTTCAGTTCTCCACTAAGTTTATACTGACTCTCTCATCTTGATCAAAGCATCTTATTGACTTGACTATTCATTGATATTGTAAGAAAGAGGACCTTAAACTTAGGATGACCTTACAATTTATTGCAACTGGGATACTATTTTAGAGAAGAAGGAGGCACTATCAACAATTAAACCAGGACAAATGTATAATCCAGTTAGTACGGAAGTCACTCAGTGAAATGGGCAAAGAGGTATATAAAATCACCATAGATGTTGGTTTATACCCAAAAGACTTAAAATTAATGTTTACAGTGTTGCAGCCACATCAATGTTTATAGTAGCTCCATTCACAATAGCTAAACTATGGAACAAACTTAGGTGTCCTTCAATAAATGAATGGATGAAGAAAATATGGTATGTATACACAATGGAGTATTACTCAGCCTTAAAGAAGAATGAAAAGATGGTAGTTGCTGGTAAATGTATGGAGCTGGAAAATATCATGATAATCAAAATAAGCCAATCCCCCAAAAACCAAAAGCTAAATGTTTTCTCTGATATGCAGATGCTAACTCACAATAGGGGGAGTGGGAGCTGGGGAAGAATAGAGTAACTTTAGATTAGGTAGAGGGAGGTGAAGGGAGGGGAGGGGGTTTAGGGGTAAGAAGGATAGTAGAATGAATCAGACATTATTACCCTGTATACATATATATAACTATACGACCAGTGTGATTCTATATCATGTACAACAAGAAGAATGAGAAATTATACTTCATTATATATGATGTAGCAAAGTGCATTCTACTGTTATGTGTAACCAATTAAAACAAATTTTAAAAATTAAAAAAAATCACCATAGACTCACAAAAGATATTATAAAAATGTTTCTATCCAATTTCGTCTTAGGTTTGCCCTGCTTTAGTCTTAAATCTCTTAAGAGATATTTAGTGAATATTAAGTACTTACTATATCTCAGGTGCTGAGGTATTATCAGTGAACTGGAGAAGTGGGGAGATATAGTAAAGAATAGTCCCATGAATCCTTATTAATTATGGTGACTGTTACAAAGGATATATATAAGAGGCTTGAGAGTATATAAAGGGCATCTGATCTAGTTTAGGTATATTAAGCTTAAATTAAAAGTATGAAAAGATGATAACACTAATATCATCATTCACATGTATATAAAGGTATAGAGGCTCCAAAACCTCAAGGTGCAATGGGATCACATTTCTGTCTCTATCAGATTCAATTCAGTTCTAGATCCCCCGGTGTAGATTGGTTGAAAGTTGACTATAATTCCGAGGTGTAATGGTTCAGATTTCCCACTAAGACTATATGCCACTGTTTGGCTTCACAGCTCTATTGGTCCTCATGCCCATGTGGCACCCCTTATGTTGCTAGTATGCAGACTCCAGCTTGGCTGTGGTAGAGGAGGAAGACAACTCCTGTTTCTCTATAAGTCCCATCCAAGAAGCCCTTCACTAGGTGTGGAATATTTACAGATACCACATAGCCACTTCTCTCAGAGGTTCTATTCAGGTTCCTTTTCGGCCTCTGCTGTATTTAATATGCTTATTTACAGTTAAAGTATTTAAAAATAATTATCCTGATCAAGCTGAAGTATAAGGGAAATCATATCAATTTTAAAAACTGCTATATGATTCTACTTATATCAGGTACCTAGAGTAGTCAAATTCATAGAAACAAAGTAGAATATTGGTTACTGTGGCTGGAAAGGGGAGGAGAATGGGGAGTTATTGTATAATGTGTATGGTTTCAGTCTTGGAAGATGAACAGTTTTGTATATGGATGGTGGTCACAGTGGTGATGGTTGCACAACAATGTGAGTGTACTTAATGCCACTGAATTATACACTTTAAAATGGTTACAGTGGTAAATTTTATGTCACATGCATTTTACCACCATGTAAATGAATTAATGGATATTTTAACTTTTAAAAATCAGAAGTTTTTTCACTTTTAGAAACTATATAAAATGCCAGCATGTCCTTATTTTTCCATTTTCAACATGAATTTAAAAAAAAATACTTTCCACATATAGAAGTTGCCCATTTAGTTTTTTATTATGCATGCAATCATAGATTCTTAAAATTTGTACTAATCTTTTCAGAATTAAAGTCACCACTAAAATTCAAATCAATTCAAAATGATAAATGAAAAGAGGTATACATATTCTATTATAAACCTCTGAGATAAGATTCATGCAAATATTACTTCTTACTTTGCTTCTCTGTAGGCGGTGGAGTAAATTCAAATCTGTGGACTCTGATATCCCGCCATGTATCACCAGAATTTCATTGTCAATAATTGTACCAATTGGGAGCAAGGTATAGACTTCTTCCAAGATTTGCAAGATTTTTTTTCCATGCAGCTGTAAGTAAGAGCTTGAGTAAGTTTTATTTTTCTGATAGGTCCAGATTATTGAACAGTCCCAATGCATGGACAAAAAAGCAAATTTTCATACCACACCAAGGAAGTCACCCCAGAGTCACTAACCAACTACCATGTATTAATCATGGTTTTTAGTCTGTATTTTTGATACTTTGACATCTTGGGGAGTGCCAATCCTACAGAAGAGACTGCCCCTCTTCAGGGCTAACTAATTACTAGAAACAATAAATGATTCACCTTTCACATGAAAACCAACTAATCCAGAGCCCACACCTTCAATAACATCTTTTATTAGGCTCTCACACTTAAGGCCAATATTTCTCTACTCACCCAGGGCCAGGTACCAGACAACTAGGGATAACTCATGCTCCAGAGCAAGCTGACATTATTCAAACTAGTCAATCTTAAATCTGATTACACTGAGACCCTTTGTCAGTTCCTTCCCATGAAAATCACAATAAAGTTTCTTGTCCATGTTACCCTGGCTCCCTCTGCCTTCTGATGGACTCTGGTACTTCCCCACATAGTCCACCCAGTGTGGTATGTAGTGCCTCCTATTTCTAGGGAACTGTGAATAAAAACCTTTTCTTTCATGACAGTCATTTCTGAGTCTGCTTATTTTACCATACCTGAGTTAAAAAAAAAAAATCCCCAAGTGGGTACCTTTAAAGAAATGGACTACGTTTGTATCTACACTGAAACCAACACAAAAGTCACAATGAAAAAGTGTGGTTTAGTCCAAGTGGAGTGGGGGGGTAGACTCTGAGTGGTGAGAGCTTCTTGCTGTTCCTCTATTTTATTGGCATGAATTCTGACTAACTGGCCCATCACCTTTCCTAAAGCAACAATCTGTTCTTTATTGACTGTTTGTTTTTAATGTCTATGCATAAACAACAAAGAGAATGCAAAAAAAAAATAAAATAAAAAGTTTTGAGTCTTACCTTGTATTTAAACAAGATTTCTCTTGTGAAGCCATACCTTAAAAAGGGGGGAGCAGTTAAACAATTAATTGTTGATAATTCCTATTTACATGAATCATACAAAAAGGGGAGTCCTTGATATCTCACTATCCCCAGTACTAGGAACTCAAGAAATTAGGTTTCAGTTGGAACTGTTACTTTAGTCTTTGATAGGCATGATAGGAAAGAACAAAAGCAATGAATGACATGTTCCCACCCTCAAGGAGATTATACCATATTGGGAAAAGAAAATACATTTTCATGAACTAACTTTAAGACAACTTAGAAAATAGGTATGAGCTGTGTAAAGACTGCAAGTCTTTTGAAAGTTTACTGCAGCAGCTGAGGAAGCTGTGTGGGAGAAGGTTTTTTCATTTAGATAGGATTTCTCAGACATCCTATATCTTACAGTAAATGATCAGAAAAAAGAAAAGATTGAACAAAGATGAACAAAAGCCCAGATGATAACAAGTTGGCTCTTCATGCTTTCTCTGATATAGGTCACGTACTGAATGGTATTCAGGGTCTTAATAGAAAGTCTCATGAACATTAATGCCTGACTAGCAGTAGCTAAGGGAGATTTAATAATGGAAAATTTTTCAATTACTTTTCCTTGCTTTAGGATAACAGTATGTACACTTAATATCCAACAAGGTAAAGTAGAAACAGCACACTTACCCTAAGTTTCCATGCAAATCATGTCATGCTAGGCTTCTACAATAATGGAGACAAATTCCCCCCAAAGCTCACCAAAGGTGTGCATGTTGTTAAACCAATATACACTTTGTAGTCCTTACATTTCTCATCCTCTCTGAAACACTAAATACATTGACTATACCATCCTTCTGGAAAACTCCACTTAGATTTTGTGACAGAAAACTCTTGGTTTTCCTCCTACTTTTCTGGCTATTCTGAATCTCCCTTGCAAGTTCTTCTCCTCCACATAGTCTTAAATCCTTCAGATTCTGTCCCCAATCCTCTCCTACCTTCACTTTCTGCCTTAACAATTACATCCCTGTCCATTCAGGGCTTCAGTTAATACCTATTGTCAGTATCACAGGGTCATACTCCAGACACTTAATTTCTGATGTCTGCACGTATAATCAACTGTCTACTCATCAGCATCTCAGATCAGTTTACCCCAAACTGAACTTATCATTCTCCTTCTGAATGATTCCAGACTGTACCCCCAAACTCCAGCCAGGAATCTGGAAATATCCTTGATTTCTTCCTCTTTCAAGTCCCCCATATCAAGTTATTGATCCTTAAGTCTTCATTGCCTAAAGTCCTCTTGAACCTATTTCTTTGCATCTCTATTACCACCACCCTAGTCTAGGTAAGAATCTATCATCTATCTCTTCAACTACTTCCTAATTGACCTCACTGTACCCACTTTTTGCTGTTGCCCTTCTCAGTATCATTTTTCCCCCAGTACTGGGCAATGAACCCAGGGTCTCACACATGCTATGCAAGCACTCTACCACTGACCTACTTCCACAGTCCTCTTCCTGTTAACTTTTTAAAATACAAATTTTATTATATCTTTCAATGATATTCATTTGTCCTTAGAAAATAGTGCAAATTTATTTGTATCATGCAACCATTTCTTACATCTCCAGCTCTATTAAGCACCATCCTATCCCTCATTCTATATTTCTGCCTTCCTGAACTTTCAAGTCTTAAAAAGTCTTGTCTCAAACTCTGCATAAGTTGTTCCTTCACTGTGAAACACTGTTCCCATCCCACCCAACATTCCTTTCTCTCAATTGCTCAATTCATCCTTCAAGTCTCAGGCTAGTATTTCCATAGGACAATTTTCCATCACCCTTCAGACAAAGTTGGATCCCTCTTTATCAACTTATTACACTTGAAAACCCTGCTCAATGTGTTTTTCCTGCTAGATGTGAGCAAGGGCTATGTCTCTTTCATTAACTATTATAGGCACTAGATGAATACAACTGGCTAACTGAATAAATGAAAGGATAAATGGCATGCCCAAATAAAAGTATTGCACTATTTTATATGGGTTTCTGATAATAGTCCTGGGATTTTTTTTTTCTTCATAGTCATAGCATTTGCTTTCTTATACTTTTTTTTTATTTTTTTGGCAGGATGGGGGTGGGGTATTAGGGATTGAACTCAGGGGCATTCAACCACTGAGCCACATCCTCAGCCCTATTTTGTATTTTCTATTTAGAGACAGGGTCTCACTGAGTTGCTTAGTGCCTCGCCGTTGCCGAGTCTGGCTTTGAACTCACAATCCTCCTGTCTCAGCCTCCCGAGCCACTGAGATTACAGGCATGCACCACCATGCCCTGCATTTTCTTATACTTTGAGAAATTGAAACTCTACTCCAACCAGGTGTCAAAACTGCCCCAAAGACAAAACTAATCTGTTGTTAAGCTTTGATTAAGGTATTCAAAAGCCCAAGCCCAAAGGCATGAGACATGCCATACCTTCTATTGTCCTAGAACAAACTGATTTTTTTTTCATAAAATGAGAGATGAAAAGAAAAAGGAAGAAGGGGAAAGGGAAAATTTGTCACCTCCTGTACCTTTCAGCAAAAATTCTTAAACCATTTAACCAGTCTTTATTCCTAAGTCAGAGAGCTGAACTACTATATTATAGCTGTTCTCAAAAAAAATGTTTATTACTCAGCATTAAAAGAGAATAAAATTATGGCATTTGCAGGTAAATGGATGGAGTTGGAGAATATCATGCTAAGCAAAGTAAGCCAATCCTCCCCCAAACAAAAACAAAGGCCAAATGTTCTCTCTGATAAGTGGATGCTGGTCCATAACAGGGGTGGGGTTGGAAGGGAGTGGGAGGGGGAATGTGAAAAATGGAGGAACTTTCATTGGGCAAAGGGAAAGAAGAGGAGGGAGGGTGCATGGGAGCAGGAAACATGGTGGAATGAGATGGACATCATTACCCTAGGTACATGCATGACTGCACATATGGTATGATACTACATCATGTACAGCCAGAGAAATGAAAAGTTGTGCTATAATTATATACAAAGAATTAAAATGCATTCTTCTGTCATATATACCTAATTAAAATTAATAAATTAATAAAAATGTTTATGAACAACTATGCCAGAAGTAATTACTATGTCATAAAAATACACATATTAATACAAAACATGGTGCTAGTTTCTGAGGCAATATTTGAGACAAGCCAAAAGAGTAACAATAGGACAATTCCATCTAAGTCTGCACATGAAACATATCATGCCTCCAGATTGGCCTAATACACCTATCTAACATGTAATTTGGCCTATGAAGGGTGGGCATGGGAGCAAGAAAAAGAACATGATAAAAGAGAGAAGGAAGAATAGGACTGGAAAAAAAGATAAGAAGGGGGCTTTAGAGCAATTGACCCTTAGTTGAAGACTGAGGGTGTTAAATAGGGCTCAGAATTGAGGTCTTCCTTGAGATTCCCCTCATCTCTCCTTCTCTACCCTGGCCTCGAATTCTCTACTGGATACTAAACATGGCAGTATTTTCCAGAGTGGGAAATAAAAGAGGAAATCTAAAGGCTGAGGTTACCTCATATTCATCATAAAATCCTCATGATTCCCTCTGTTCAAGTGCAGGTCATTGGGGTAGACAAGAAAACTCACAAGCAGGATCATGAGGACCTCTATGGAGTTACTGCCTCGATCTACAAAATCACCATTAAAAACATACGGGTTGTTCCCCGACGGGAGACCGTTCTGTGGAAGGAAGAGAGGAGGGAAAACAAGCAGTTAAACTAATGTTGTTGTTTTAAAGTAAGGCTTTGTGTGTAACGTCCCTTTATATGGAGAAAAGAGGCTGAGTCGGTTCTTTCATTGGAAAAAAATTCTGCTTACCTGCTTGAGCCAGTTTCCCTCTTCCAGGGCAGGAATCTCCTGTAAGGGACCTGAAAATGAAGCTTGAGACAGGAAGATTCCAGGGAATACAAGGCAGGGGAGTGCTCATTCTACCCACCACCTACTATTGAGTTTCCTCTAAAAAAAAGCTGATAATTATCCATCAACAATTGTTACTGTCATCTCTTCTTTCTCCTCTAAAAAGAGGGAAATTTCTATCCAGTGTAGAACACTGAACTAACAGCCAGAAATCTTTCATTCTAAGGAGCTCTACATCTAAATTCTTTAGGCTACTATACCCTCGATTTGCAAAAGAAAGATGATACTATATTCCTCCCTAGATCACTTGTGAGAACGGATATAAAGTTACCCAGGCAAGTGGTATGACTGTGAGCAGGGCTAGTGTACTACTAAGCACACCTAGTGTCTATAGCAAGCATGCTATTCTGGCTGATTGCTGACAGGGCCATATTAGTCATTAGATACTTTTAATATCATTCCCAAGTATGAGATACATTTTTTTCTCCAGTACCAGGGATTGAACTAGGGGTATTCTACCACTAAGCTATATCCCAACCTCTTCTTATTTTCTATTTTGAGACAGAATCTAAGTTGCTGAAGCTGACTTTGAATTTAGGATCCCCCTACCTCAGTCTCCCAAGTAACTGGGATTACAGGCATGTGCCACAGCACCAGGTGAGATAATATTTTTAAAGACAATGATAGTATGAAAAGGAGCTGAGATTAGGACACAGGACTAATTTATAAGAACTATTAATTAATTTACTTCTACACTACAAAACTAAGACAAAACAAACATATGTAACATGGTTACATTTTCTCGGTGTCAGACCTGATAATGAAATGTCTGAGTGCATTGAAATGTTTAAAAAATGTATTATGAAGGGAAACATTTAGGTACCCATACATCAAAATGTATGATTTCCTTCAAAAAAGTCAACCTTCAGAAAATAATAGACATTCTTAATCTTTTTCAAACTACTTTCAAATTCTTCTTTTGTTAGATTTCAAACTGCATAAGAAAGTTTTATTACTTTGTACTTAACATCCTACTATTTATATATATATTAGAAGGTTCGTATAATAAAGTAATTGAAAAACTATAATACAGGTTATAACACATATCTTAGGGATTTCAGAAATCATTTATGCAACATAACATGTTCTGAAGGTAAGTGGAAACAAACAAGCAGTGGCATGGTGTAATAAGACTAATACTCTAGTCCAGCTCCACTTGTTATACCCAGATATCCTTGGGCATGCTATTTTATCTTTTATTAATCTTTAAAATGGTAATGATTACAGGGCTGGGGTTATGGCTCAGCCATAGAGCGCTTACCTACCACATGCAGGGCGCTGGGTTTGATCCTCAGCACCACATAAAAATAAAATAAACGTATTGTGTCCAACTACAACTAAAACAATTTTTTTTAAAAAAATGGTAATGATTACTTCCATACTTACCATGCAGAGCTATTTTAGAATTCAATGAGATTATATGTATAAAAACTAGAAAGCACTATACAAATTAAGAGATTCATCTTATTGTGACATCCATGCTATTTCTAATTTTAAGATTTCATAATTTTACATTTCCTTAATATATTAATTCACACAACCTTATTCACATGGGGCTTAGATAGTGTAACCAGCTGCAAAAATTTAGACTACTGCTCATCAAAACTTAAAGAAAAGGAGAAGGACTCTGACACTATTCCTTCCCCCAGGCTTCAGCTAGTTGGGATAAGTAGCTGGAAATGTTAGGAGGGGTGATGGAGGTTACAGACTATTGTGACATCCAGGTTCTGAAGGGGGCTAAACAAGCAGCAGCAAAAAACCCTGGGGTGAGAACAGAGGACGACTATGGCTGAGGGGACCCATGGACAATTCCATCTAAGTCTAAGAGGCGACTCTGCTCAGAGCATGTGGGTAGTCCTAGTTGGGTGGGTTAGAATGTTAGATCTTACTTTTCGCATGCCAAAAGCTAAAAGGTCATGAATGCTTGCATTTAGGAGCATCTAGAAACATAGAGACTTCCTTTTCACATTCTTCATGAAGGAATAGAAACTGTTATGCCTCCAACTCTGGAGAGGCTTGAGCTACCTTAAGCAGAAAATAGAAAACAGAAATAAGCTAGTACTTAAGAGAATCCAGCAACCAGAGATGTGTTAAAGTAGATAACCCCTAATGTAACAGGACTGCTGGAGGAGACAGAGAACAGCTTTATTTTTTAAATGATGAGAGGAATGTATAAGAACAAAAAATTTAAAATTCTTGGCATTAAAAATATGCTATTCAAATTTAAAATAGCAGTGGATTAGCAGAAAGAATGGTTGTAAATTACATTATTGAACTGAAAGAGTAAACAGGTGAAAAATCTCTCACACTGAACAAAAAGCAAATAATAGAACTCATAAAGAATAAACACATGAGACTAGAGTTTCAGAGCCAAGAGACCTAATGTGCCAATAATAAGCATTCTAGAATCAAGGAGAAAAAAAAGAAGTTGGAAAAGAAATAATAATTATAAAAATAAGAGAATTTTTTCAACAGTAGTCTGAAAGAACTCATGACTCCTGTGCATAATTAATGGGAAAGAAAAATCCTATTCCCTGGTAACAGCCTCAGAAGAAGCCAGAAAGAACAAGTTACAAAGGGAAAAGAATCATCCCGGCATCAGACTTAGCATCTGCAGTAGTGGGAGGTAAGAGATGGTAGAAGAAAATCTATAAATCAAAGAGAGAAAAGGACTATAAACCAAGAATCTATACTGACCAAGAAGACATCATTAACATCTCAGAGTGATAGAAAAATACTTGCAGAAGTATAAGGGATCACAAACCACCAACAACATAAATGTTCTTCAGGGTGAAAGAAAGACATGAATATGTAATGATCTAATACACAAAAACAATGAACATGTATTGATTGCTTGTAACACACCAGGCACAGTTTTAGGTGCTACAAACACAGAAGTAAACAATATAAAGTTCTTTTATTCAAGGAGCTTGCATTCAGTGAAGAAAGTACCCATATGACCCATAGATGAAAACACTCAAGAAAATTAAATAACAGTAGTAAAAATTAAAATGTCCTCAAGCTAGGAAAAGACCAAGATGAAAGAATATAGATGTGAACAATGAACCTTGAAATATATAATTACATATAAATCAATATGATATTATCAAACTTGCATTTAAATACTAGGAAAATATTCTATCAGTAGAAAATTGTCTAAAATTATAAATAAATTATTCAGACTAGATAGATAAAATTAATAATGGTTAAGACCTAGAAATATGGCATAAGCAAAAGCTAAGATCTGTAGGGGACATCGAGGGAGCAAAGTAAAATGGTCTACAAATATTGTCTGTCTGAGGGATATGGAAAGATAAAGATATGGAAAATAAAGATTTATCTTACAGGAAGTAAGAGGATTATAGTGTAAGAATACATTTAAAGCTATTTGAGAAATATATTACCAAAAGATAAAAAAGGAAATGAAAAGGGCAAAACAAAGTTAAATAAATAGTAAAGTAGAATAGAAGGAAAGTTTTCAAATATACCCACTGTTATACTAAATGTAAATAGGTTAAATTCTCATTAAAATGCCAAGATTACTAGAAAATTTAGGTATAGCTTACTCATGAGAAATACACAGGAAGAAAGTAGATTAAGAGGAGGTAGAAAACAAGGTAAATCCAATAAAGAGAAAAAAAGTGGAAATATTAATACTCAACAAAGTGGATTATAAGATTAAAATGTTAAATAGTGTCACAAAGAAACATTATATCATAATAAAAAGTACTTTATAGGGGCTGGGGATGTGGCTCAAGCGGTAGCGCACTCGCCTGGCATGCATGCGGCCCGGGTTCAATCCTCAGTACCACATACAAACAAAGATGCTGTGTCCGCCGAAAAAATTTAAAAAAAAAAAAATATATATATATATATATATATATATAAAATAATTTATAAAGAAGTTATAGTTCATGAGCTTGTAGTCACTATACAAAAGAACAAGCTTTTGCTTGTTCACTATGTCTGAATTATCCAAATGTCAGGGCTACGGATGTAGCTCAATGGTAGAGCACTGCTAGCATGTGTAAGGCACCGGGTTTGATCTCCAGTACCAAAAATGTGGGGGAAAGGTTAAAATAATGGGCAGAAATTCTATAACATTCCCTTTAAAAGGTAAAGCCTCATTTGCTTCCCCTTGAGTGTAGGCCAGACTTAGTGACCTGCTTCTAAAGAATAGGAAAATAAAAAAGTAATGATATATAACTAGGGAGATTTAGTCATAAAAGATACTGTAGCTTCCTGCCTATTCTTTCTCCTGGATCACTCACTCTAGGGAAACACAGTTGCTATGTCATGAGAATATTCAGAAAACCTTGTGGCGAGGCCATGAGTTCAGCAAGGAACTGAAATGTTTTGCCTATAGCTATGTGACTTAGCCACCTTGGAAATGGCTCCAGCCAATCTTTCAGGTGTCTGTAGCCCTGACCAATAGTCTTATTGTCTCCCCATGAAGAAACCCTGAGCCAGAATGACATAGCTAAATTGCACACAAATTTCTGATGCACAGAAATTATGAGAGATTAAATTTGGTAGCTTTAAGGCACTAAGTATTGGGGTGGCTTGTTACAAAGCAATATATAATACATATAGTAGATACAATTGGCAAAATTGAATATACAATCAATAAACATGTTTTAATAACTATATTAAGAACTTTATATATAGAAAATACAATTAATTTTTCTTATGTCCATAAAGTCTTCATGAGAATCAACCATTAAGGCTTTAAAGAAACCATTAACAAATTCAAAATAAGAAAC